GTAGAGTGGGTGTGCGCCGTGCACCACGTCCGAGTATGGTGAGGTGCGATACACCATACACAATCCACCGGCCGGGCAACGGTGGGCGCAACTTGAAATGAATTAAGTGATTAAGTGAGATCTGCGTATCTTGACGGCACGAGTACAGGCTATGTACTATTCCGTGCTAGTAGCTTAGTACTGGAGTGGACAGCTGTTGATCATAGGTACAAGCTTAAGGAAGCGTAAGATTGACCACAGAAAAAAAAAAAAAAACAGATACTAGAAGCCGTCGCCATCTTATTCAGACGCCGGGAATCGAACCCGGAGCTCCCATTAAACTTGTTCTACCCCTTGTAGGGTGAATGAGGTGCGCCGTGCACCACGTCCGAGTTGTATTGCTGGTGCGAGGTGCGATACATCGTGACGCTATGTGATGCAGGCAGCCGTGATTGGGATTTTTGACTTCCAGGTCGTGGCTGGCGGGTGGGTGTTCATTATTCCTCACAGAGACCACTGAACGAACGGCTGTTTACCATCGGTACAAGGAAGGGTCAGATAATATGTTGACCACAGGAAACAAAGAAAAGAAAAAAGTCCTGATCGTCACCGTTTCATTCAGACGCCGGGAATTGAACCCGGAGCTCCCACTGAACTTGGCTGTTACTGGGACTAGGGAAAGTGGGGGGACACCGTGCACCACGTCCGAGTTAGTATTCCTATTGCGAGGTGGGATACACGAACCCGGCCTCGCGAAAGTGGGCGGAATTGAATGTATTATATGTTGACGCTTGGTTGGCGCTGTGCCCGGCGCACCGCACGCGTCGGGTGGCTGTTGATCCACAGGGAGGGCGCTGGCCGAGCCAAGGGTGACAGTGACAGGTCAGCTTGAGTACACGAAAAAAGAAAACCTACTACAGCCGTTTGCATAAGTCCGTGAAAACACGATTTTTTTTTCACGCTCACGTGTTCATGCCGGTGAAGCCGAAGGGCCTGTCGGTGCCGGAGTACTTTTGGATCAGTGCGGGCCGACATCCAAAGGTGTGGCCCGACGTTGCCGACGACTCAACTTGTCGGCCCCTATGCAAAGCACGCTACTTTGGTTGTTCCGGATTTCGGCCCGGGCAAGAAAAAAAAACTGGTTTTCACAGAATTATGCAAACGGCTGTAATGGATGTTATATTCGGACGCCGGGAATCGATACCCAGGGCTCCCACTGGACTTCTTAGACCCTAACTAAGGAGAGCGGGTGTGCGCCATGCACCACGTCCGAGTTGGTATACCTGGTCCGAGGTGCGATATACGGTGCAGACTGGCCAATGGTAGCCTCAATTGGAATCCTAAATTGAGCATGTTGACGGCGCGCAAAAAGATTCCACACCGATGACGACCATTCGGACGCCGGGAATCGAACCCGGGGCTCCCACTGTACCTTGCACAGCTACCGCAGTAGGGAGAGCGGGGGTGCGCCGTGCACCACGTCCGGTTAGTATACCTGTTCCGCGGTGTGATACTGTACACTGCAAGCGGCAAACCGGCCGGCCAAAAATAGGCGCGAGTTAAGGCTGAGGCGGCGCGCGGCGGGTGGGTGTTATTCCGCACGGAGACAGTTCGGTGGGCGGCCGCTGGTTATATATAAGTATGAGCAATGACACATATATTCGGTGGTACGGACACCGACGAATTTATTTATCGCACTCGGTGACCGGTCGTCGTTGATGTGCAGTTATGGACTGAGACGAACGGTTTTGTGTACGACGGACGGGTCACACATAAATATGATGATGGTGCATAGCATTATGCCCGGCCGAATATCGTGTCGGATTTAGGTATTGAATGTGTATGCTTCAGACGGCGGTTATCCATCAAGTCCCAGGAAATGGTTTGGGGTTCGACGATGCGAATAAGACACAGTACTTGGTGATGCCCGGGCGAATGTGTTGTTGTCGGATTTAAATATTGGATATATGTTCGACTCCGAGCGGATAAGTATATGTTCGACTCGGAGGCGGCGATTAGATTATCTACCTCGGGTCCAAGGAAAGTCTGATAATGAATGAATGAATTTAGTCGTTGGTAGCACAGACGTTAGATATAGATATACATGCCTCGGACGGATTTATCGCATTTGTTGCAGTTGCTCGGCGATCGATGCGGTGCTTTGGATAAAAGGGTCCAATTGAATTCGAAGCAGAATAGAACCCGATCCAATCCAAACTTGGTAGCCGTTAATGAAGGGCCAAAATAAATACCATCCATTGTAATCAATCGGTGTCGTGATAGTGAGCTTGTGATGCATGTAAGGCGGGGTTAGAATCTGATTAGACAGACGACGCAGATACAGCCAGCCAGATAGATAGATGGATGGGTGCCTAGGCGCCTAAGACACAGTGGGAAGCTTGATGGAATGCAGAGAACAGCAGAGACCTGCGAGGACAGAAGGGAATAAACGTGGTGCGAGCGTGGGCCCTGGAAAAACAGTTATTCAAAAGTAGTGAACCGGACCATGGCGCGCGCAGTTTGAGTTGCCGACACGCATACATATAGACGGGGGGAGTGCTAGTAGGATCCGATATGAATGACTCGCGGAGATCGCGGATTTGCCGTGCAGCGTGGGGTGCGCGAGTTTCGGCGGCCAGTTTACTGTGGCCCGCAGTTGAGGTAGTAGGATGAGTCAGTAGAGGTCACCGGGGAGCTAGGAAGAATTCATTCATTCAAAAGCAAGGCCGCGTCATCCCAGTCAGGCGGCGGACAAGGAACTGCTCGAACCCAGCACAAGGGAAGCAAGCGCGGTGATTGGCACGGAGATAGCGGCTCTGTACCAAAGTACATCGTACGATGCAATGGTGGTGTTCCCTAGAGACCCTGCAATAGACGCGATGCGGAATGGAGGCAGAGACTGAAAATGGCCGGGCAGGGAGATGGGAGGAAGACAAGGCCCAAAATGGAAATTGCTGCCGCGGATCCCGGGATCGATCATATCGGCCGAAACACGTGGCGGCCTTTAAATTTTCGTGTGCGCACCCGGCATGTCCTCTTCTCCTCCTGCCCCCATCCCGCGTCCCTTCTCTCGCCTTTCCTGCCCATCTCTGCGATAACTAGATTCCACCCAACTCAGCGGCTTTGAAAGGGATTCCCGGGGCGAAACGAGGCGGGACTTGAAAAAAACATGACGGAGTATGATTTCAGCGAAGAGGCGTACAAGCGGCACTTCGAAACCCAGGCGCGCATCTCCAAATGGACACAGAACACTGGCCGCGTGCCCCAGGCCGACCCCTTTGCTCCGCCAACGCCGATGAACGGCAAGGGCCACGCACCGTTACCGCGCGAGGAGTCCAGACACCGCCGGTCGCGGTCAAGTGATCCCGACGACAAAAGATCGCGCAAGGACCGGGACGCGAGCAGGCGCCGACGATCCCCGCCGCCCCCGCTCCCCTCCCCGCTCGAACGCGAACGCAGCAGCGGCCCGCGCTCCCGTACCGCACCGCCAAGAGGCGACATCTACGGCGTCCAGCAGCCCGCGCCGCAGCCGTATTACCCCGCACCTCCGCCGGGTCAACCGCACTACGCCCCACAACAATACTTCCCCGCGCCCCCCGTCCCCGTACCCCCACCACAAAAACACAACCGCTCCCGCTCGTCCTCGCAGGCGCCGCCCCTACCCGCGAAGCCGACGCGCTCGCGCAGCTACTCCGTGACGCACCTCCCGCCCATGCAGCCCGTGCGCGCGAACTCTTATCCATATGTGCCGGCGCCGGGGCAGGGGCAGAAGGGGTATGTGTACCACACCGCGCCGCCGGGACCGGGGTATGCAAATGGGCCGGGATATGCGCAGCCGGTGGCTCGGGGGTACGGCAGCACGCCGCAGCTGGCGCAACAACAGCAGCAAAACATCTACATGCGCTCGGGGACGTCGTTCGTGGTGCAGCAGCCGCAGCCCGTCGTGGCGAGCCCGACGCGCGAGGTGCCGCTGCTCAAAAGGGTGTTTGGGTTCGGTGGGGGTGGGAAGAGCCGGGAGGGGAGTCGGAGTGCGAGTTTGAGTCGGGAAGGGAGTGGGATTGGGATTGGGAGGGACGGGTTTGGGAAGGGGAGGAGGAGTCCGAGGAGGCAGGAGACGTATTGAGCCGTGGATCGGGCGTTGTGTTAGGATCGCCGCGCCCTCCTCTATATTCCATCGCCGCCGTGCCTGCCTGCCTTCACATCGGTTTGCGCCACACGCTCGTTCTCCGCTCCGCGCTGCGCCACACCACGCCGCATCCAACCAACCAATCGCGACACCCTCTTCATCTTCTCCGTGTCACCTCCCTCCCGTCCTCCCGCCCGTCCAGCATCGGACCGTATATATAGAACATCACCGACCTACCTACATATAATCCACGCACATATACCATACACTTTGTACATAAACCGCCTCTCAACATTACCTAGTAGTAGTAGTACATACCTACGACGCGCATACCCGGCGTTTTTCGCGCAGATAGCTGTATTTGTACTTTGATTCTACATGCAATGTGTATTCGGCTTCGCCCCTGGGCACAGGCTGTTGGTGGCGTGGTGGGCATGCGGGCTTTGATTTAGAAGTGAGTTGAATATTACCCCTCGAACCCACCGTACGCTTGAAACCTTGTTAAACCAACGCCGCTCGAAAGGAAGCCTACAGCTACAGCTATCGACCCACGCCTCAAAGCAAGCACCTCGGACGTGGTGCGCGGCGCATGCTCGCTATTTGTACAAACTGTTGTTTGTCGTATATTGTGGGAGCTATGGGTTCGACTCCCAACGTCCGAACTACTGGAGTAAATGTTCGCTTTTTCCCTCGCGCATGAGGAGCTGGCATTTCTTTTATCAATCGCTCGAGGTTCAGTACTCAGTACTCAGTCCGCGCGATTTTAACTCTAGTACTATAATGTCTCAAGTTCAACCCAAATTGCATACGAAACTCTCCCTCTGGTGCGGCTAGGCTAGCAGGTGCGCGTCCGGCTTTAGAGGCACTTATGGTCTCACGACTCCAGGCAGGTACCTCGGACGTGGTGCACGGTTCACACCCGCGATTCATGATTGGCAGTGTGAAGGATTATTGTGGGAGTTCTGGGTTCGACTCCCAGCGTCCGAACTAGAGTCGGAGTCATCAATGATTTTTCCTTCGCGCATGAGGAGCTGATAATTTTTTTACCACTCGCTCGGAGTTCGGTCCGCGTGATTTTGACCCTGGTGTCTCAAGCTAACCCAAATTGAAGACGAAGCTCCCCCCTATCGTGCGGCCTGCAGGTGCGCGTCCATACTCCCGTTGTTTTAGAGGTACTTATAGACTCACACTTCCATGCAGGTACTTCGGACGTGGTGCGCGGTGCACACCCGCGGTTCATCAGAACGCGCTGAATAAGTTGATGCGGGAGGACTGGGTTCGACTCCCAGCGTCCGAACTGGTCGGAGCCATCGGGTGTTTTTTTGTTTTGTTTGTGGGGGGGGGTTATTATACTCATCAGGTCCACAATATGAACGACGAGTTTACGGAAGATATACATGGGGTACTGTACGGGTGGTTATCCTTACAGAAATCCTCAAGATACCAACCGAGCACAAACCGATTGTAGGGGTTAGATCAAAGCACTGACGGTGCGTGGACTGGCCGGCCTTTTTGTAAAGGCTGGATTCCAGTTGTAACCTCGTGGGCCCTGACCTCCAGCAAATAAATGCTGTTAATGAGTACGGGAGGAGTTCACCCCTCCCAGGGATTAATTCCCCGGAGTCCACCAGTCCACACAACGCAGTGGCCTGTCGTCCCTGCTCACGGCGAATGCAGTGGGACCACGTCTTATATGGGTTATTGAGAGAGGCGTGATCTCTCTCACTCCTGATCAAGGTTAGTTGGCGTGTTCAACTTCCGAAGAAGGTCCACAGCCAGCGGTCAATCCAAACACAAACTCCATAGAACACAAAATAACTCGTCATGTGTTGGCCTGCGGTGTCGGTGCATCTACACAGAGCATCGGACTAGAGTCAAAGATCTTCAACACGTCATAAGCAAGTTTACCGAGCAGAGGAGTGATCTCCCTTCGAGGAAGTATATCCCGAAAGAATTTCAAGACATCGGTCGGGTCCAGAGTGCCTGAGAGCTCCGGTAGCGTATCATAGAGTTCCCCCAAGAACACTTGACGAATCTCAACCAGCTTTGCATGCTGACAAGCAAACATCGCATGGGCAGGGTCTTCGACGTATGCATAGCAGAATCGACACAGGCGCCATTCCCGAGGAACAATTTTCTTCCCGCGCTCCTTCCACCGCCTTCGCTCGATGTCAAGGGAGTGACCGGAGAGAATCATGCGGGTCAGTGCACGCCGATGATCTCCAGTTTTCACCCGGAGGTAATGGCGAAAGTCTAAACTTTCCTTGACCAGTCTATGTGTGTCGTTATCCATTTCGAGCCGTCCGACGAGGAGGTCTCGTACACGCGATGATGACTCAATTTCGCTATCAACCCAGGCCTCCATAGAGAGTCGAACATCCTTCATCGCGGTCTCGACGTGGGCGTTTGCATGAGGAGCTCAAATTTATTTTACCACTCGCCCGAGGTTACTTCTAATCCCAGCGACTTCAACCTGCGCGTACTGTCTCCAGCTTAACCCAAATTGCAGACGAAACTCTCCCTCTGGTGCGGCTAGGCCTGCAGGTGCGCGTCCGATTTTAGAGGTACTTATGGGCTCGCGCTTTCAGGCAGGTACCTCGGACATGGTGCGCGGCGCACCCTTGCGATTCATGATTGGCAGTGCAAAGGATCATTAATCGATCATTCAGGGAGGTCTGGGTTCGACTCCCAGCGTCCGAACTGAGCCAGTTCCGAAGACTTTTTTTCTCCCCTTGCATCAGGAGGTGAAATTTCTTTTATCAGTCGCTCGAACAGCTCGCGTGATTTCAACTCTAGTGTCTCAAGTTCAACCCAAATTGCAGACGAAACTCTCCCTCTGGGGCCATGCAACTACTTATGCCTGCAGATGCGCGTCCGATTTTGGACGTACTTGTAGGCTCACGTTTTCAGGCAGGTACCTCAGACGTGGCGTACGGTGCACACCCGCGATTCGTAAGCAGGTTGCATCGCAAATATCGTGGGAGCTATGGGTTCGACTCCCAGCGTCCGAACTGGCGGGACCGTTTCGATCATTTTCTTTAGCATGCCAGGAGGTTCTTGGGCGCTCAGTGTAGATCTCCTTCCAACGCGAAATAAATTGGACTCGAACGATTTCTGAGTCCTGACCACGCGCTTCGTACTCTATCACACTCAACCCGATTTGCAGACGAACCTGGGATCTAGTTTGGCCACCCCGGTGCGGAACAAGCCTACAAGGAGGGCGAAAATTCAAGGCAGACACCTCGGACGTGGTGCAGGGCGCACACCCGCGTTCACTGGGCGAGATCTTTGAAGTATTTGATGCGGGAAGTTGGGTTCGACTCCTAGCGTCCGAACTGGTGGGATCGTTTCAATCATTTTCTTTACCATGCCAGGAGGAATTGACGTTTCTCGGGCGCTTGTATATCTCCTTCCAACGCGAAAGAAGTTCCATTCGAACGATTTCTAACTACACGCTTCGTACTCTGGTACGCCACGCCGGTGCGGGACAAGCCCACAAAGAAGCTCACACTTTTTAAGCAGATGCCTCGGACGTGGTGCGCGACGCACACCCGTGATTCATAACGAGTTGTATCGAGAATATTCTGGGAGCTATGGGTTCGATTCCCAACGTCCGAACCAACTAATTTATTAGCTCCTCTTAAGACCTACCTGGTCTAGACCGAAATAGGTCTCAAGATGTGAAGATCTTAAAGACATTCATATCTTAAGATCCTGTACCTATCCTGCCCATAGTACTGTTCTGGGACGGCCCTGCTCGTATACTTTATAATTTTATTATCTCCTCTTAAGTTGTGGGTGAAATCATCGGCAAGTCTCAAGTTCCCCAGAACTTAAGTCCTTTGCCAGTAAATAATAGCAGCAGTGTGTATTACCTTGATGATAACTTAAGTTGTACGCTATTCAGAACTTGAGTTTGAGCGTACTACTTAAGACTTGAGCCTGAACTTAAGTTTGCCCGTGAACTCAAGTTCTACATCCCACGTACTTGAGTACTGGAGAAGTTATCTGAGGAAGTAAGCAGAGGTAGTTAATGGAGAAAATACTTCAGCGACGGATTCGAACCTACTTGCGATGTCGCCATTCTATTCGGGGAAAATTCCTGAATAACCTTGCAATGACCAGGAATCAAGTTTGAAGGCCGAGGAGGAGAAAAATACAAGAACCAAAGTACCATGGGTCTACTGTGGTGTATATTCAGTTGGTGTACACAGAGAGGGAGGGTGGCATACCTGCGATACAAAAATGCCACCGGTGGGCCGCGTGGCCCGGGCGGTCCGTGGCCGAAACCGAACGGTAGAAAACCATTATATCGGCCGGTGTTGCTATGATTGAGATGTCGTTGAGCTATAGGGAATTAGCGAGACAATTCAGAGGTATGTGGGTATGCCGAACATGGGAGTTGAAGAACAAGTCGGTTGTGTTTGGTTCGGTTTGGTGATCTTTTTGGCATTCCATTGTGCACGTAACGTCATCCATCACACATCCCTTGACTTTCGACCACCACCATCCAAACGACTTAGTGCTGACTTCCTCAGCCCGCTACAGTGGCACAGCCAGCTCCAGCCCACAGGAAGAAACAGCCAGGCACTTGAACCACTTCCTTCGCTATTCGAGGCGCGCTTCCTAGTCAACCGGGACTAAGCCTTCTGTGCCACCGACAACGAAGAGAAGGGGACGCGGAGACATTGGGCGGGAAGGTGCGCGATACCTTTTCCTAACCTCTTCAACCGACTTAATTCCCCTCAGCTCTATGCACCGACCTCTCGCAGAGTTCAGGTTCGTGTTCACCAGCCGGTGACAACGGTGTCGTGCGAAACCTGTGAGTATTGACCTTCGTAGTATGGCGTCGCGTTGACCCTCCCATCAGCTCTGTACACCAACCTCCCGCATAGTACGGGTTCGTGTCCACCAGCTGGTGCCAATAGTGTCGCGCAGAACCCCGGAAACCTGTGAGTATTGCTCCCTATAGTGCGGCGTCGTGTTGACCCTCCCTCCCCTCAGCTCCGTGCACCAGAAGCCTGTCTGCAATAGTCCAGCGCCGCGTTGTATATCCGAATTCGATTCAATTGATCCGCGATGGGCGAACTTGAGTTGTTGCGGAGAACTTAAGTCATTTCGGAGAACTTAAGTGGATGGATGGACTTGAATCTTTTGGCGAAACTTAAGTTGTGAGCTGAACTTAAGGGGTTCAGCAAGACTTAAGTGGCTGGCCGACTTAGGTTCCAAAAGTAGAGACTTCAAGATGTTGAGGCAGTGTGCTGCCATGCATGCGGGGCGGTACGGAAAGATGAAAAACTTAAGTCATTGTGAACTTTAAGACCTACGCCTCTCAAGACTTGAGTTGGTCTAGACCGGTCAGGACTTAAGACAAGCTCGTCCTATTTCATTCCGAACTGGCGTCGGCACAGCGGATTTTTTCCCCCTCTTGCATGAGGATGTTACATTTCAGATGCTTTGAAGTAACTCTCCTTCCAACGTGGAAGAAGTTCAAGTCGTTCTTTCAATCCGCGCTCACTCTGTCAATGTCAAGCTCAAACGAAACTGTGATTTGATAAGTTGGTTGCCGCTCAGACGCGGATACCTGCGTTAACGTTCACAACCCCACAAAGAAGCCACAGCTCCTAGGAGAATATCTCGGACGTGCTGTACCGCGCACACCTGTCTTCGTTGTTCACATAGTCCAAAATTTGATGCGGGAGGACTGGGTTCGACTCCCAGGGTCCGAAGTGCCAGGTGGATATTCAAATGGTTTTTCCCTCGTCAAGCGATCTGACATTTTTAGGCGCTGTTATTTCTCCTTTCGACGCCGGAAGAAATTCGAATTCCATTCAAGCGATTTCGATCTCCGCCCTGTGTTGGACTCAACCTAATCTGCAAATCAAACGGATTTCGGTGTTCAATTGCGCTCCCCAGTCCCGTGAACTCACAAGCAGGCCCACACTTCCAAGCAGATACCTCGGACGTGGTGCGCGGTGCACACCCGC